TGCAACACCACTGGTGAACGTGCTCTGCAAGGCTTCTCTGCCCATATGTAGTATCTGGCTTAATGAACTTAATAGGTGCTAGTGCTTATTTTGTAGTCCATTGCAAAACTTTAACCGTGATCCTATATCCTTTTCTGTCTATAATGTCAGTAAATCAGTACATGCAGCTTTCCTGTTCTGTAAACTGGGGTTTTCTACCTTGTCATTGATAGGAGTGGTGTTATTGTTAGCTGAAACAAATGCCAAAAATCCTCCCCAAATCCTGTTGCATTGGTAGCAAAATGTGGACAAGAGAGATTTCATCTTTAGCTTCAGCTCCTCTCAACAGTTATCACTAAGGAAAGTTAAAATATACATTCTGAATTAATAGTTTAAAAAAATATAATTAATTTTCTACCAAAAAAATGAAGATTGCCTCATTTTCTTCATAGTTGTTCCATGTTTGGTATGACTGGGTTTGTCACATCATGATCCAGTCTTAATGCTGCTCTCACTTTTGCCAGTTGTTCCATGTTTGGTATGATTGGGTTTGTCACATCATTATCCAGTCTTAATGCTGCTCTCACTTTTGCATATTTCAGGTTTTTCAAATAACTTAAGTTGCTTTTTAGTTTTTAAAGTCTTGTTATTTAGTAGTACAATTGGGAGCTATATATCCTCTGCTGCTTAAAAAGGCAATACCTGCAACTAGTAGATTTAATGTCAGTCGTGAGTTGTGCAATGCTGTGGTCAGATTAATGCTGGCAGCTTTGTGCTGGAGACCTGATGAGCAATGAGTAGAGACATAGCAAGAGGCCTGTGCAATGAGGTGTAAAAGTGATTGGGACATGAAATGGCAAGGAGGCCATTTTAGGTGAGAAGGAGCAAAGCTGCTGAGGTGGTGGTGGGATGACATCAGCCACAGCATTGGGTAAGAGAGGCACCATCGGTGAGCTGTGGGCTGCTGTTGATCCAATAGTTTCAATGTCAGTTCAGACGCCTACGTTCGTACCACTAACTGGCCGTTTTGAAAGGACACAAAAGTAAGGGCATTTGGAGTTCCTGCTATGCCGTTAGCACTAGTTGGCTGTTGTACAACCAGATTGCTCAGCTGGCAGTTCGCAAGTGCTTTAAGTGCCCGTCAGAAGGGATTGCTCATTGGATGTGGCCAAGGGGAGCTTCGCAGCTCTGAGCTCCGCTCTGACTCTTTCTCAAACATCACAGCTATAGCTGCTTGAACTTGAGTGATGTTTTAGTGAGTATTACAAATAGCTTTTAGATATGTTATTATCACTGTGGATATTTATCTTACAAACTGTTAGGCTTTCTAGTGACCCAAACAGCGACCTGAAGCAGTCTAGTAGGATCTTTTCTGGTTTTAGGCACATGAGGCCCAAGAGGAAGGTGCTTTGTTAGTGTGCTGCTGCTGTGACATTGGTTACAAGGCTCCTTGTCCTTTCTCCTATATGCACATTAAAATGAAAGTTAGCCGGGCTTAAAATTTAGCCAAGCCCTGCAAAATTGCTTTATTAACAGGGAATTCTTGGTAATTGTGTGGTGTGCCTGCACAATGAGCTGACCTTGAGAGGTGTTCAGACTCAAGGCTAGCTATCCCTTAACAAAGGGGATGAATTCAGCTGGGTTGTATTTGAATAGCTTGGGCCAAATTGTCAGTGGTATAAGGCAACTGTCACAGAATAATCAGAGAGGGAGACAGAAGATGTTTACAGTGCTGTGTGGTTATACTAAAACATTTTCAGTGTTGTATGATTGCTCAACTAGGTTATGTTTACTCAGTGTTCTTACAAAACTGAATTATGAGCCAGAAAAAAATTCCTGACTTTATAACCAGTTATCAGTAGAGGGTGCTATGTATCTTTTACAGTTGATCTGCACAGGCTGTATATTTATCAAAGATTTTTTTAGTTAATTTATTATTCAAAATTTAGTTCAATTATACCTTTGCTTACATTAGCGGTGCAGTTTACTGTAGTAGGTCTTGATAACATTAATTTGATTCTGCAAATGAACAGATTTTCTATTTAGCAAGATTCCGTGTTATACTGCCATCAGCTCTGTTATAATGATTTTATTATTAGAGAGTGTTTGCTCCTATTTATATATGGTAATAAATTTATGGAATCTAGTTTATAGGCTTATAAAAACACAAACACCACCTTTGCATTTCTTACTGGTGTTTGCTGTCAGTGTGATAACGATGTCATCAGACAAGACATACAGCTTCTAAGTAGCTGTGCAAGTGATTCAGCATCAGGGGTAGCAAGTGAACGTCAGAAGGAGATTTTGTGGAAAATAGGGATGAGGAGCTAAAAACAGCAAACACAAGCTGAGAGGAACAGAAGATGAGGAAAGAATAAGAAGAGATACGGAGAGGTGAGGCTGATGAATAAAAGGCATAGGAAGCAGACAAAGGCCAGATGACAGCTTTTGATTTTGGAATTGTTGCTTTGCTAGCTCTGCCTTCCCAGTTTCTCAGCCCTAACTGCCTTTTCAGGCCCATGAAGTTTTAAACTTTTTCCTACAGTGTCCCAGCTGCTTGCAGACTCTTCTACTGGTTGCTGATAGGTGGAGCTATGACTTTTGTTCTGCAAACAGGAAACAGACCAAGGGCTCTTTTGGCTTTTCAGTTATCTTCAAGCCTGGTGGGAGATGACTTGATCTCTTAAGTTTATTCTTGGAAGAAGTCTTATGAAGAAAAGAATTTTGATTTCTGAGAACTGATAAAGTAGAGTACCAGGGGAATATGTTGGCTTATCTGTCCATCCTGCCATTTCCATTATTGGTAAATGTGGGATAAAATACATGGTCCAATCTAGAAATACTCTTGACTCCGCTTGGCCTTTGTAGAAAGACAGCTAAAAACGCAGAAAGTTATTGAAGATTAACTCTTTATTCAGGAAGGCATGAGCAGCCACTGTTCTGTTTCCCTCCTGTTTTGTTGGGTCACTTTTTAAGCAGGAATTCCCAGGGTAGTGTTCCTGCATATCCTGGACTATGCTTGTTGTTTCCCTACTGTGAACAGGGAGTCCCAAGGTTGCACCCAGAACGACAAGGGACAGGACAGCTCATCTGGAGGAAACAAAACAAAATCTGTTGCCTTTCTTTAAGCTGGACAAGGTCACCCTTGAGTAGGGAACTTCAGAATATGCAAAAGGCAGAGCTGTCCTCTATAGTCCTTATCTGTGGGAATCTTCCTCCTGGGAGGCATGCCTCTAGCCTTCCTCCCCTTTCTGCCTGCCTAAGTCTGTTGATTGAGATCCAGGATCTTGGATCTGTTCCCATCCCTTCTTTACTCTTTTGTTATTCACTGCTGATAAGGTGCTAAACAAGACCCACAAAGGAAATGTGTTCTTTTGGAGGGCTGCCTTGTGGCTGGGAGGTCACCTGGGTTGCATTGGACCAAGTCCTCGTTTCCTGGTACTGTCCAAAGGTAACATGACTGCTGTCCTGACTCTGTGGAGCAGGTGATGCTCCTGCCTGTAGCAGGAGGAGTGGGGAGAGCAGGGGAAGCCACTAGGGTCAGGAACATGGGGCATTTTCATTTTACTCAGCTGATAGCTTTGCTGAAGTGGCAGATGGTGGCTGTCAGGTCTGGGATCCAAGCCTGATAGCAATCCAGGCCTTGAAAAAACTGAACTAGCTGGCTCAGAGGCCAGAAGCAGGATGGCTCCTCTGTTGACATCCTGAGGCTGCTGGGTTTCCTCTTGGTCCAGGCAGAGCTAGGAAGTCCGGAGGTGAGAAGGAGAAAATTCAAGCTGTTGTTGTGGCTCTTCAGCCTCGCTTCTAAGTAATCCAGGTACTGAACCTTACCCAATACAGCACTAGATGCTGCAGTTTAAGTTGACAGCTAGTGACGTGCAGGACAGCCACAAGGCCGTACCAAGGGTAACGTGACAGGCTTTGGGAATGGGTGCCCAAAGGCAAGGAAGGTTGAGTTCACTAAAATTAATAAGGTAGTTTGGGGGCAAGCGTAGGGTGTGCAAGTTTTATACTCTGCCCTACCACAGACTTCCTGGCTGATTATAAGCAGATCACTCTAGTTTCTTCCTATTTGTCTTTCCTTTACGGAAAAATAGGAACACTAGGTATTGACCACCTTGCATGAGCACTGAGGTGCTTTTAGCTCATGCAGATATGAAAGTAATAAGAGCCCAAGGCAGGCGTCCAGAGGCAGTGGGGTAATAAGCTCTGAGCAGGGCACGTGATGTATAAACCCCGTTTGGAAGAGAATAAGCAAAAACAGATCTTTTCCCCAAGTAACAATTAATTAATTTCAATATAGTTCTTGCTGAGTCTCAGTCAGTCATGTCATGGTAGCACACCAACAGGTATCGCTGCTGTAAGTGCAGATTTCCTCAAGTGAACTGTTTTAAGTGCTGTATCTACAACATAAAGCAGTACACATGGGAAAAAAATAGCATCCTGCTCAGGGCCGTCCCAGGGTGAGTTTACGGTCAGTATGGGGGATATCTGAGCTAGCTTTATGTGAATTAGCTCATGTGTTGTTGTCATCTTGTTAGGGCAGAAGGAAGGTCTTGTAGCCTGAATTCTCAGTAGGGTAACTTAGTACTCACCGAATTCAGTGCAGGTGAGGCCAGACTAGCTTGGTACATAAGTGAGCTTGTTTGAAAGCTAATCCAGGGTCCCTGCAGTAGCTACCCCGCTGTTTTACTCTGTAGATATGAAGCTCTTGACCTGAATTATTGTCAGTGGACAGAAAAGGGCACTTCTGAAGTGTGGTTCATTGTAGGACTTCATCTCAGGATAAGAAAAACTATGATACAGAAGTATCTGATTCTCTGTGATGGGTGTAGTAGAGCATGTGTATCTAAAATTGGGTGTTAACTGCTTTGTGGACCTGGGCTAGATTTCAGGGATGGAGGTGGAAGGCTCCATGTCCTGTGAGCCCATCAGTGGTGTAATTACAGGCTTCCTTAATTGTTTCAGAAATACTAGGAAAATACTGCTTCTTAAAACAGTCTCTTCCTCTCTGTGCACAGTGAAATACAGTTCAGCTCCTCTAGTACTACCACTTCAGAGAGCCAAGAACCGTCTTCTGGGGATCAAGCAGCGAGCGCGCTTCAGCAGCAGCTCCTACTGATGGTGGCACGAAGGACCCTTTCAGAAAGCCCACGGGTACATAGTAATATCTCAGTTTCTAGCATTTTGACAGACTGCTTTATAAACACATGCTGCAGGCTTGTTCTTGAGACAGTGTTGTTGATTTTCTATGCTGCTAGCCCAGTATTACTCTTGCGGGAGAAGGTGTATTTTGTGTTGATGGATATAATTTGGCTGCTTTCTGCTGACACACTGAGTAGTGTCCCAGGGGAGTGCTTGAAGACTCCGTCACCTAAAAAATTGATCTTCTATCGTCGGTCTTATTTCACTTGAAAGAAAGAGAACACAGCTGTTGGCATTTTAGACACACCACCAGATTTTAATGGTGTGAAGTGTTTGCTCTAGATTCATTAGTATACTAAAACATAATGTCTGGTTTCACTTTTTTGAATTGGGCAACCAGACTTCTTGATGTCTGTCGTGGAGTGTCAGCGCCATCTCCTCAACAGCAGTTGATAAAAGAAGGCCCTCAAAGTTCAGTTTATGTGGTAATATGTGGACAAACTTGAACTTCATAGTGTTTGGGGTCTGTGACCAATGGTTTCAGGCTGTAACCTGTTTTTACAGTTCCTTTTATAATAACTTTAACCTTCTCTTTTCTTCCATGTCAAATTCTAGTTTGATATTTATTAATAACCTTAAAATGCCAATTAATTGTCTTAAATTTTTTGCACATGAACTTCAAGCTAGAAGCAATTTGTATGAAGGAACTATTTTAAATTAAAAATCAGGAAATTGTCCTGAATTGTGTATTTCAGATTTGGACAGAGACTTCCATCTAACGCCCCAGATGTTTTCCAGATATTTATAGTCTTGTACATTGCCTGTAAATTCGAGAACAATTATCATGCCTTTTTTTGCCCCTCTTCTCTTCTGGGAACACTGCACCGTTAAGAAGTAAGGCGTATTGCTCAAGATCACATAGCGAATCTGTAACAAGGCCAGGCAATAATTTCAGAACTTCCTGGTTTCTGATTTTTTTTTTATATTAAACATGAAATTCTGAGCCTATGTAAGTCAGGAAAAGTTTTGTCATTGATTTCAGTGAAGCTAGGGTTTCAGGCTGTCTCAGACACCATATAAATTTATGAAGTGAATATTTATAAGCCCACAATTAGACAATGACTTGCTCAGGGCTGGTCAGAGAGTTTCTGAAAACCAGCTCAAAAGTCTGACTCCAGCCCAAGTATTGCAAGCCTTGTGTGATGGATTTCATCCAAACGTTGCAGTTCCTGAGGAGCTGAAAAGTTCGCTTATGCACTCAGTTAAATATGTGTTAAGCTGTTCAGAGGACCAAACAATCAGTTCCTCAGGTGTTTTTTATGGACTCTTTGCCACTATTTTGATTTTTCTTTAGTTATAATGAACAATCTATATTAGATGAGTGAAGTTAATGATTGTAGTTGACTGAGTTTCACATTACTTTCAGTTAGAAAATAGGACCCAAGAGAAACAGAACTGTGCCAGTATTAGCAGCTGTGATATTTTAAAATATTTTTTGTCTTTAAAAATTCTGCAACTCCATAATTAAGCAACTTTTTAAAATGGTAATAGAAATGTTAAAATTTGGAGTGCCTAAACTACTTTTAGATTTCAAAATCAGCATGGAAAAAGGATTGCAATCAGTCTCACAGCTTTTAAATTACTTAGAATTGCTAATAAATGAAAATGACAAACAGCCCGGCATCTCCTTGCATGTCTGAACACTTAGAAACGTGAGTGAGTTACTGTCCTGTGCTGATAGTGGCTGAGCTACCTGGTACTGCATGGCTGTACACTTTTAGTCAATTGGAGGCATGAGATAAAATTAATAAACTTGAATTTCTTTCTCTGAAGCTTAAGCTAGCCTGTTTTACCTCACGTTTTCCAGCAGGCTGAGGATATGGATGAGCTGGTTCCCAGCTGACATGCAGTCACATGTAAATAATGTGTAAAATTCCTTTTCCTGGAAAGTGAAGCTTAGAAATCATTCCAATAATCTGAGAGAAAATTTAACAATTCCTTCATGCAGGTGGACAGGTTGTTTAAAAATCAGTGTTTTCCTAACAGTTACCATTCAAGAAGGTGATGAATTATTTCACGCAGAAATCCCCTTCTCTGACTAGGAAAGTTAATCTATAACAAATAATTCTAATGTAAACATTGCCTAGAGTTCAATACTAGATATATTTATTGTCTACTGTTGATTAATTATGTTTAACAAGGGGTGGGGGCAATAAGGAGGTTGAAAACCACTAGGTTTGTACTGATTAGAAATCTCAGACAAATTCTTCTTGCAAGAAAAATGTGATTTTTTTTTTTTCCCCTAAAATCAATTATTGGTGTACATTGGGAAGAAATTGCTACTTTGCAGAGGTCTTTTTGTTCTGTTGTCTAGCTTTGCAGACTTGGCTGATGGTCTGTACATAAGCCTCCCTCCCTGCAAGTGTTGGTGAAGGAGTGCAGATGTAGGGTTGGGAGAGATCTGAAATGCTGTAGTTCAAACACAGGCAAGAAGAAAAGGCCTTAGAATCTGACAAAAGCAATATTCAAAAGGAAGGATTTATGACTCTGATGGTAAGATTAGAGATGCTTGAACTACTGATGATTATGTTGTTTGTGTTTGTTTCTTCCTCTTGCTGTTCTTGAGGATGATCACCTGATGTGGTATTAGAAGCATCCCAGGAAAGACAAACAAAGCTGTGTTCTGTAAGGAGAGTTGATAAATCACGCCTCTAGGCCCTAAAACCTACTTGATTTTTCTGGTTAAAACCAAGGATTTATCCTATCATGTGTGGTTTTGTGTTGTGCTGAAATTAGTTTGGTGAATGGAGAAAATGTTCAGATAGAAACTTTTAGACAAGCAGTGGATCAAGACTAAAAATAATGATTTTTTTTAAATGAATATTTAAATATTTATGTTTAAAGCATTTTAGCACTGTTGAGCTCCACAATTGGTATAGCTTCTGTCCATCTGCAGTAGTTAAGATAGTGTGATACTTTCATTTTTTATTTAAAATGTAGAAAATAAATATGTTCCAACCATCCCGTTTAGAAAAAAACATCTGAAACATCATGTAAATTTGGCCTTTTAAACACCTGTTTTGCTGGCAGCCATACCTCAATGTGAAAGAGGGTT